AGGGAGAGGTCCTCTCTTGTCGGGCAGTGTTTGATCATTATGGGCTGAGAGGTTAAGTGTAAGGCCATTTAGGGTAATACCTGATGGGCTAATCTTGCATCTGCCCGCAGTCCCTGGGTTTTTATAAGATGGCTTGGCCCAAAGACCACTTAGTGTAAGTGTTGGGCCCATAGAGTCCATGTGATGGGCTCAAGGGGTTCACTAGGCTTTCCAGTGAATTTGGCTAGGCCTTGTAACAAAGGTTGGGCCGAACCTATGTGGCTGATGTGTAGATCAATGCTTAGGTCCCACGCCAAACAAAGAATACCAACTGGACAGTAGTTTGGAAACTTATTGAGCATTGATTACTTATTGGGCCTAAAAGCCCATTTCGACCTGGGCTAATTTGATCACCCACTTAAGGGGGCATATCTGGGATTAGGGTTAGCTAAAGGATTAGGGTTTTAACCCTATCCACTCTTGGAGCCCAAATTCAAATGTGATTTGAATCTGGTAACCTCCTGATAAGATCAGGAGTGGGCTGACTTAATCTGCAGATAGGATTAAGATTATCCCCTATCCAAATACAGATTTGGATTGGGATAACTCCTAATAGGATTAGGAGGTTTCTTAATCACTACGAAAGGAGGAAACCCTAATCTTGAATTACAAGAATTCGACCTAGGGTTTTGTAGTAACAACTTTTGCAATCTTAGATAGGATCTCACCTTCCCTAGAGTTAAATCAACATTCACGCCACTTTCAACTTTAGGGTTCTCCTCTAGCCGCCGCCGCCTTACTGCTTGGTTCGAACTCCTCTGAAGGGGCGATCAAGAAGCTGGTTTTTGAAATCAGTCTTTTCTTCGGTGCTCTAAGCCTCGAACGGATTCTTGTTAAGAGTTTTGTACATAGGACGTACACTGTTGGTTCTGCCCCATCGTCACTGTGTCATTTTTAGCCAGAGCAGATCTTGGATCTTTCTTTGGGCGTGAACACCGACGTTGGGGGATCTTGACTCTCCGTATCAGGTATAACCCTTCCCTTTGATCTTGGTTCAGATCTGGTATGATTTGGTTCGAGTAGGATCCTTGAATCTTGATTCTAAAATCAGAGAATACGATTCCCAGTTGGAAGAAAGGTAGGAAATTTTTGAAACTCGCCCACCCATTCCGCAACCTTTTTGGCGTCCATACAATGGATCCTACCATTCTTTCACCCCGTCTTAGGTAAGGTCATTAATCCCAACACCATCAATAACGTAGTGTATTTGTATTGGAGGGTCCATGTAAATGATGGACAAAAGGGTTCATAGGATGTGAGTTTCTTATGCCTTGCCTAGTGCATGTCATTTTATAAAATATGATTAATTAGAAATCTTATGAAATCAGTTCCCATGCTTTCATTGATTTTGTTTTATACATGTTCTCTTGCTTAGCCCTTATTTGGGAACACTTAAAATAAGTTTTTATTCGAAAAAGTATTTTTAAGTGCTGAGAGCACACAATGAGGAATAAATACTTATTTGTATTTAGAAAATAAGCCCACAACAAGTGTTTATTTTAAAAGTAAGCCAAAACTAGATGTCATTTTTTAAAGTGCTTATTCAACAATAAGTACTTATTTCTTTTCTTTTTTTGAGACAAGACTATCCTCAATGCTTTGTTCATTTTCTAAGGAATTCCCCCATCTTCAAAGGAATATCACTACTCATTTCCTTTTCCTCCAATGGAAGACCCGAACCAATGGAATGGCGATGGTCAAGCACCCTTTAGGGATGCAAACGGGCCAGGTCGGATTCGAATCAAGATATATCCAAATTTGACCCAACATTGTTAATTGCAGATCCGAAGATCCAATTGGATCTAATAAACATGGATCTAAATCAAAATCCAATGAGGAAGTTGGATTTTCGGATCTAATCCGATCCAATTTTATTTAAAAAAATTAATTATTAAAAGAAAAATAAAATATAGCAATTTAAATAAAGAAAACAAAAACTCTAAGTATCTTTTCAACCATTTTCATCATATATATTTTTTTTATAAAAAAATAAATAATATAACAAATTTTAAAAAAATACAATATAAACAATATATTTATAAATAAATAAATAACATGTATATGTGTTATATATTTATATAAACAAATAAATAACATATATATCAGACCGGATAGGGGGTGATCCGAATTTGATCCAATTTCTGATCTGGTCCTATTATCTGATCTGAAGATCCAAAATGGGGCTATCTGAATCTGAGATTATAGGATTGGACTTTGGGTCCGATCCATTTGCACCCCTAGCACCCTTCCACAAAACCTCTCTCTCTCTCTCTCCTTCTTCTTCCACCATCATAATTGAGTTTTTCCCTAATCACCATCACCTCTTTCTTATTTTTTCTTTCTTTCCTCCCTCTCTCCTTGCCTCCTCTCTTCCTCACACCTCTGCTATAGTGAATGTGGAAATATGTTCAACTATGGGAAAAATGTCTGTTTATTTTTTTGTTTTCGTATTTATCCAATATGGCTATTTGACCTGTTCATGGGGTACACTCAAACTTGCCTTTTGCCAAAATTTGAATGGGTCTGGCATGAAGTCCGAGACTAAACAATGTAAAGTTGAGCCCAAAGCCCGGCTCGTTAACAGGTCTAATAGCTATATTAAGTTAAGGCTATAATTATCATTTTTGCAAATACAAATACTTGTGAAATAAGCAGCTCTCGAAATACTAACACCACAAATAAATACTTAAAATAAGTATAAGTGGTTTAAGAAAAGACCTCCCAAACACTAATAAGTATTTATTTGTTATGTAGTACTTGTTTGCTAAATCACTTGTTAGTCAAACATTGCCTAAGATCAATGATTTATTTGGGCTAAGTACTATCTATTTATTTTGAGGGGAAGTCCCAATTCTAGTTTAAATAAGACGGTTAACTTCAGCGATTGATCATATTATACCACATATCAATATATCATTTGCTGAAAACGAAAATGGAAACTGTGAACTGTGCAAGTGTGCAACATAATTATTGTCAATATTAGACAAGCTGATCCTTGTTCTCTGCTGCAAGTCATATGGGCTTCTTTCGTGATGTACATTTTAATGCTCAAGACAAGTGATTCAGTGACAAATAGGAAAAAGGAAGATGGGTTTACAGTATAAAGAACAAACAAAATGGACTTGAATTATTAGGAAGATCACATATTCTGTACATAAAGTCTCTGATGATTGAGCCAACCATTTGCAACTCATTCCATTTTGGGACGATAATAGCAATCAACACCCCTTCTACAACACAACTCACCCATGATTCAACTCTTATCATCACATACAAAGTGATTGATTTTAATAAACCATGATTTCCTAATTATCTTACACTCCATACCTATGGCATTGAAGGACTCAGACATTACTCAGCAGGTAGACCCTGCTGATCCACGTGTATCAGCGGCTATTATAAACTTTTAAGTGTGTCAACTCTATCAATGACATCCAAGGCTTTAATTCTGTCTATGTCGAAATCAATAACAGGAACAGCAACAGACGGCCTCCTGACAGGGACGAATTCCGTTTTATTTCCACTTGTTGGTGAGTGGCTGTTGCTCTTGGTCAGCTTATTGTGCCTCAGCCTGGTTTTTACCCTGTCAAATTCCTGACTTTTGCTTATCCCGGGGGTCAGTTTCCTTTTATTGACATCCCGCAGCATCTCCTGGTCTTCAACAGTTAGCATGGATGATGGGGAACTGGGCTTGTGCATGGATAGAACTGTCTTCTGTGTAGGTGAACGAATTGGGGATTTAATGGGAGACCTAAGGCCACCATTGATGCCAGACCTTGATTGGCTGATGAGATGGTTAAGCCACACTACTAATTCAAGTATGTAGGCATCCGTCTTCTCTTTATCTGCATGATGGAGTGTCTCTATCCTTAACAAGTCAGACTGACCAGTAGGCTTCCTGTTCACCTCAGACCTGAAAACATGCACGCAATAACCCCTTGCATTGGTATATTTGATTGATCTGCAGAATCCTGTTCTCAGAGGTTCATCTCAGAGCTGAAGAATGAAATATTAACGAACGCAGACACACACACACACACAGACTTGACTCACCCTGTATTTGCCCATTCACCAACCCATCCAAAACCATGATGGGCTCTGTTGCAGCAACGACAATAATGTAGAATGATTAGAAATTTAAAATCAAATAAAATTATGGTAACTAAATGAGAACATCACATAAAAGAAGCTAACAAAAGAGAGCTGTTTCCAATAATTGGAAATTTACTTGGTTGTATTAGTAGCAATCGGAACAAGCCACTGTAAAGTTTTCTCCATCTCAGCTTTTATTTGTGGAACAGTCAGCTGCAAATGGGGTAAGAAAGAGAGTGATAAGTAATGAATACGGTCTCAGATATACTAAATGGAAGGTCATTTAACAACCCAAATAACTTATTTGTTGCCACAATAGTAGATCAAATCCCCAACAAACCAATACCTCTTCTTTGAGCTGAAATGACAATAACTTGGATCGCAAAGCTGACTTTATACTAGGTGGCAGTCCCTGGTATAATGAATCCCTCGTATTTGGAGGCACAGAACTTGATCGGGATACCTAATCACAATACCATATTGAAATTCTTCTCAGAAAGAACCTACCACTTAATTTTACACAAAGCACATAAAGCATATACTTCATTCCATAAAGTCCACAGAAACCTTGGGATCATACTAAATCATAACATCAAAAGAGAGTATTTTTACTTTTAATCAAAAACTAAAGATTACCGATACAACTACAAAGGTTACCATCAACAAAGTAATATCAATTAGCTAATAACGGGTCAACTATCAAAGTGGAAAAACTTTTGGATCCTAAAGGTGCATGATCATGAACGATGAAGCAGGTATTTGTAAATGGGGAAACTTTTGGATCAATTAAAATCACTGGAGGCTTGCTTAATTGGTCGTTTTGTTGATGTGGATGAGGTTGCAAAGTGGGTTTGTTCCGAATGACAAAGAAATGGAGAAGTCCGGGTAAAAAAACTTAATGCTCGTTTTTTTTTACCTTCTTGCTAAGTAGCAAAGAGGAGGCAGATGAGGCTTTGGAGGGAATCAAATAGAGTAAGATTGCCAGATCATGGATTGGGCAGATGGAATCCTCTTGTTGGAGCAATAAGAGATGTTGGAGTGATAGTTGGAAGTCTCGTTTGGGTAAATATTTTTGAGATTCCTATCCATGCATGGTGCATGCAATCGTTCCACGCTGTAGGAGATGTGTATTGAAGATTCAGGAAAATAGACTCTAGTACTCAAGCTTGAAAAAAGTCGCAGCAAGAATCTTGGTTGAAGGTGAGTATGATTCCATTGTCTCTGGCATTGAACTTTGCTGGAGAATGGCTTGATTTAAGAATAGTGGTGGAAGGAAACATTCCACTAAAATGGCTGGTTCATGAGTAGTTGTTGATGATTGTTGTTGGTTGAAGGATAGAGAAATGTCACTTGATGGTGAGTCAAAAAGGAAAAAGATGAGAGGTTGAAGAGAGTATTTCTGGAAAGAAAAAAATAACTTGGGCAATCAGGTGGGAGCCTTAGTTGAGAGACACAAGGTGTGATTTTAAGTCAGGTAAGTTGAAGGGTCATGAACCAGAGAGTATAAAAATGAGGGTTCAACCTGGTTTAGGTTGGAATTGCAAGTGGGTGAGTGGGTCAGGTCAATTGATCTGTTCTAAGCCAATACTTGACCCATTCAAAGTCATTGGAGGTGAGATTTTAGGCTATGTTTGGTTTGAAGGAAAAGGTAGGGAAACCCTTTGTAAAGATTTCCCCACCTTTCCTTTCCTTTCCTTACTTTTTCCTTCAAACCAAACATAACCTTAAGAGAAAGGGTAGATCTGAAATGGTAGAGATTTCTGTAAGTGAGGCTGCAACTGAGAAGGGAGAGAACCTGCTAGCTCATCTTAAGGAGGTGATGAAATTAGAGTAAGAGTTGACACAAGTTTGTTCACTGGAGAAGAGATGAAATAACACTAGAGACTGAGGATGAGGAAATCCTAGGAGTCCAATTTGTTGCAGATAAGCAGGCGAAAGCAAGTGAAAACAAAGATCACAATAAACTTGAAACAGGAGAGAGATCAAAGTGGGGTTAACAGAGGAGACGTTAAAGGAAAAAACTGAAAGGTGGAGTTGAAGGTTTGAAAACGGGATTATTGAAAGAACATTAGGAGAGGTATGTCAATATGATTTTCAAAATTCAAGGGGGTTGTCGAGGAGAGTTCTGTTTTGGTTTTGGAAAATCTGGAATCAGAGAAGAGAGTGAAGCGGAGACTTTGTACTGATCAAGTTTATCAGCTGAAGCACAATCTAGTGGAGGATTGGATCTGGGTTGTATTAAGGGATAATTGTTTAGAATCGATTCCAGATCAAGCTAGTAAGGACAAGAAGGTCTATTGCTCCATTGATCTTTAGGAATTTGTCTATCCAGAAGAGGTACAGCTTGCAAAAGAGGTAAAGATATTTCTTTTTGATAATTAACAGAAAGTTTTATTAAGAATAAGAGTATGAGAATAAGATACAAGAGGAAGGAGGGGTAAAATCTCTTAACCCTCCCTAAGAGTAAACTTCAAATTACAACATTGCCCAAAAAAGATAAACTCTTCCCACCCCTTGTTTGGCCAGTGAGTCTGTCAAAGAATTGGCACTCCTTAGTCCACTGAAACTTGATTTCCATGTTTTGAGATAACTGTTTAACTTTCTTTTTCTCATTTAAGTATTTCCACAAACTGAACACTTCCTCCTGCAGCCAACTAATAGCCAGCCTAAAATCACCTTCCACCATCAGCTTTCTGATATTCAGCTGCTGGACTCTTTTTACCCTTTTCAAGACTGCCAAAATTTCAGCTCTTAGAGAATCCCCCCATTCAATAGGACCAGAATACATGGCAATAATTCAACCTTCTTCATCCCTGAACACTCCTATACTTGAAGGGCCTGCATTTCCTTCGCTGCTACCATCAAAGTTCAATTTAGTGAACCCCATAGCTGGAGGAGACCAAACTGGATTAGGGGCAGTTATCAATGGAGCTGACCATGCCACTTCTTTCCAATTCCTGACAATATCTCCTGTTGAGTAGTCTTCAAATAGCTTCATAGTCTTAACCTAATGAGCCACCCCAATAGAAATTGATTCAATGATGACATCCTTATTTCTTTCTTTTTCATGGAAGGTTCTTTGATTCCTTTCCTCCCAACTTGTGTCCAACAGATAGCTGCTCTTACGCATTTCCACATGATTTTACCTCTCCTCTTTAACCCCCTAACTGAAGTAGAGTTAACAAGCTCTGCACATTTGGAGGGGAGGTCCACCTGCAACCAAAAAGAGAGAAAAACCAACACCAGATCTCTGAAACAAAAGGGGAGGAAATCAATAAGTGATAGCAGTTCTCACCATTGTCCTTACATAGGATGCACCAGTGTGGGGATAAACACCAATAACGCCTTTTCCTTTGAAGTAAATCACGTGTTACACTTTTCTAGGAAAGCTTCCCAACAAAAATCACCTATTCTGGGAGGGATTGGTCTACCCCAAACTTCCAAGACTGAAAAGGGGTGTCCAAAAACAGGTGGGCATTGAGCTAACTCTTTGAAAATGGAAGAGCAAGAGAAAACACCCGAGGGAGACCCAAAACCTGCTATCCCCCCTAGAGGGATCAATAACCACCTCGTTGAGGATTTTAAGCAAATCAGAAATAATGCTCAACTCAGAAAACCTAAGTTCCAACCAAAAGCAAAATTAGAAAGGGTTAGAAAAGTAGATACTGGCTCACTTTTAAACCTCTAGAAGGAATACAAAGACGGGTGCTGCCACATTCAGGAGGTTTGTATTAATTTTCAAGAGGGGAAAAGCAGGAGGTATTGTAGTGGAACCAAAAAAAAAAATCAAAGTGGATGATCCATTTAGAGGGAGAAGAGAAGGAAGCGATATATATGAAGGGGGCTAGTTTAAGTGGTGGATCTCAAGAAGTACCAGAAGGGAAGGGAGTTACAAGAGGGGGTTTGAAATCGGGATGTCCTAAAGCGGAGGAGGTTTTAAGTGAAAAGGGAGGAGTGCATCAGAGAGGGAGGGAATCCGTAAAGGGGATCAAAAGGTGGAGGGGGATGGAAGTTAATAATTTTATGGATGTAGAAGAAAGGGTTAGTCTTTGTGACAATTCACTTAGACAAGGGAGTTGGTTATCTGAGTAAGTTGTTAGTTATGAAGTAGGGAAGGGTTGAGTAGAGGAAGAAGATAGCAAGTGTATGTGCTCCAAAGTCTACAGAAGATGAAGTACAGAACTGAGTCTTTGCAAGAAGCTGTTGAGATGGAAGATGAATTAGTTGAGAGTGATGATTCAGATGAGGAAGAGATTACTATTGACAAGATGCATGAAAATGGAAGGTCAAGTGTTGTGGAGACAGGTAAATACTGAAGTGTAGGTGAGCAAATCTCTAGTTTGTTTTTCCTTGGAGGGAAGGAATTTGCAATCAAAACTTTTTTAAGTAGTAGAAAAAAAAAAAGTTTGGTAAACCTCCATTGGTTAGGGAGAAAGTTACTTTGAATTTGGATTCTGCTGATTCAAAATTAACAAATGATGTTGATATGGATAGACTGAATCCATTTGACTCTGAGGGAAGTTGATTTAGAGGGTGGAGTGGAAGTTGCAGATCCTGACTTTTAGGAATGCAGTGTTAGAATTAGAGAGGATCAATACTAGCTACAATATTTAGAAGGATTTCGAGAAGACTACTAGTGCAGTAAGATATTTTAGAAATTGGAAATTATATAGAAATGTTCAAGTTTCAAAAGTGTTTGGGGTTGGTCCTGTCAAGAAGGTGAAGAAAGTAAAGAAAACCAACAGGAAAAGCAAAGTAGATCATCTTCAACCTGTCAACGGTGCAAAGTAGTTAAGGGAGGATTGTCTTTGGGAGGTGATCTGTTGAAATTTTTTTTTGTTTTTTCATTGTTTGTTTTGTTCCGTTTGTTGGGGTTTGATGTTTGACTGTTTGTTGCCTCTTGTTTTTAGGATTATGGTTGTTGAGGATTGGTGTTGGGTTGTTTCTTGGGTTGGGGGTTTCTTTTTCATCTTTCTGGGACTTCTGGTCATCTTTCTTGTATCTTCTTTTTTCTCCATTTAATAATTTTATTTTAACTAGTCCAATTACCTAGAAGCATATGAATATGTTTCTGTCAAAGAGAATACTTTCTCCCAGCAAAAGAGGCTTCTCAATGTCAAGCAAGAAACTTCAAAGCTATGTTGCATGGACACTTCCAAATGTTACAACAACCAACTGATGGTGGTTCAATTGGTGAGTTCACTGGATAGAACCCCCCCCCC